GGACAAAATTCTAGATCAATTTCTGTTATTTCTTTTATCTTTTAAATAGTAATTGCCAAAATTTCTTTACGGATCTATAGCCTACCACATATGTACCAATTTCTTGGCATCCCCTCCAACATAGCGTTAACTGCCATTAAATACCATCTCCATATTAATTTATAGTACTTCTCCTTTATCCATATGGATAATTTTTTTAAATGGCATTGATTTTTCCCCATTCTTGAACATTATTTGTGCTAAATCCTTCTCCCATATTGTCCTAAGATATTCTTCTTTCTCATTATATTTTAATTGTAGTTTGTATATTTCACTTTTAACTCTTTTCAAAGTTTCATTTACCTCCATACTATCTCTTTGCCTAATCATTTGTTCAAATTTTGTGTATTCTCTAAATTCTATAATTTTCCTATTCCAATTTTTTGTCCATTGTTCCAGTTAAATACAACTAAACCAGCTTAATTTTAAACTTTGCAATTTCTCCTTTATCTTTCCTTTACCCTTCATTTATCTTTATCCATTCTTTTATCCCAATGCATTGGAATCTGTAAATATAATTAAATTCAGCTATTTCTCTTTCTAGAGTTTCTTTGTCATTTTTTTTGTTCAAGGACCACAATCTTTAAATTCCATACTGTATGTCCAGAAAGGCTGAAATGTGTTGCAACTGGGTTTTGAGTACTACTGTTTTTAATGTCAGATTTGTGCTCATTTATCCTCTTTTGTAGAGACTGTCCTGTTTGTCTGATGCAGAGTATAGAACGACATTGCACGCATAGGATGGCGTACAGACAGGCTGTAGCAGATTTACTAAAGGACAGACCACATCTTGCCTTGCTGATTTGTTTCTTCACTTGCTTGCAGATTTTTTTTCACCTCCTTAGGTGGATATTGTAGCTTGAGAAATGCCTGGTGTAAATTCTGGGCCTGAGCAGATGTGGTAGTATCAGAAGGCTTGGCTATAAACAGTAGATTTGGAAACTGGATGCCTGTAATTAAGTGTAGTGATCTGTGGCTTTTTGATAGAGTGTGGTGCTTACAATTCCATTCTGCATTTGCATAGCGGTATCAAGAAATTGAACTTGTTGCATATTGTTCCAGGCTCAGGGTGGAAGTTGTTGAAATCCTGGTGAAACTTCTCAGCCGTAGGTAGAGGAACTGTTTTTAGGTGCACATGCTGAGAAAATGTTGTTCCAGGTCAGCCATTAAGATGTTTGCATACAGAGCGCCATATGGGTACCCTTAGCTAGACCACTGACTTGGAGGCACATGTTCCTCTCAAAAGTGAAGCAGTTATTAGTGAGTACAAATTGGACAAATTTGGTGGCTAGGTCTGCTGATACCCCAACAGTGAGGGTTTAATGCTTGAGACAATGGGTCTTCCTGGATTGCCTTGTGTATTTTCAGCAGTAGATAGGAGATGCCTGGTTTGGGCTCCTGGGTATGTCCATTTGAATTTGGTTCCATACATCAACAGAGAATTCTGAGTAATTTGTGTAGTTCCTTTCAGATATTCATCAGTGGGATCTTTAGAAAGGATTTTGTAAAACATAGTCTGACTTATTCATGATGACATCTCCTCTTGTCAGCCTGACAACAGCAATTTTGTAGTCTTTCTCATCACAAGAAATTAGTTTAATCATTCCATCATTACCCGGTTACACCCTTTGGCTCCATTCAAGTAATTCATATTTGCCGTAATTATTATTCACGTTGTCCGACTCTTGACATTAAATTCGCTGTCCTGGGCACCAGAATTTTTTTTAAAAAAGACAAAAACACAGAGTATTTTTATAGGCAAGTGACTTGTAGCAACGGGGGGTTGTTGGCAAGATTTCTTCAGAGGCATGCCACTGCCTTCCTATACAGCTGAGAGTGTGTGACTTTTTCAAGGACACCCAGTGGGTTTCCATGGTTGAGCAGGGATTTGAATCCTGGAGTCCTAATCCAAACTCAAAACACTATGCCACACTGGCACTCCCTTTTTAAAGATTCCATGGAACTATTACATTCAGAAGATGTGCATAAGATGATAGGCAAATATTTTGTCAGTGGAGGAGCTCTATGAATCCCAGTTGATAACAAGATTTATTATTATTATTTTGGTGCAGGCAGATATTAGAAGTGCAGTCTGCAGGCATAAGCATAAGGAACAAGGTATGCTTACCTGTGGGAAAAGGTCTGTGGTCAACATCCCCTTAACAGTACTTTGGTAACAAAAACATTGTCCATGTAGACTTGCATACCCTCAAGAGTTACAGAAACAGAAACATCTTTTAAAACCCTAAAACAAACTTAAGGAACCCCTAAAGTAGCCTCATCCTTATGAATCTAATCTATGAATGACTAGTATTCAGAGATAGCTGTTTATCTGTTCTAATAGAAAAAGACATGAAGGGAATTCAGTAACACTTTTCTGAGGTTGGAGGAAGGAAATTTATAGCATAAGCTTTGTGAATTCCAGCCTGATGAAGTTGACTAGAATCCATGAAGGCTTATGCTATAAATTCCATTTTCCCTTAAAAGCATTACTAGATTTCTTTGCTTTTTCATGAACTGTTTAGACTGAGGACTAGAAAATGGGGGTAGGGAACAATGTATCCTGAAAAGGGTATAGTCAGTACCTAGAGCAGGAATGCACTTATCACATCAACCTGTGAATTCTGTGGGACTTGAAAGCCAATCCTACACAGGGCATGCCTTTTTTTCCTGCCTCAGTGTGTACACATAACGTACATAATATCGATGGGAGCAGAGCCTGGAAATACTACTTGATGTATTTTAAGTCCCAGAATCCCCCAGCTAGCATTTCCAAAAAGAAACTTTTCCTGGCTCTGGGTGTC